TAATACCAAGTGTGGCTCACCTAAGAATAAGACTGTGGACCTTGTTACTGCTTCTGGCTTCTGACTTGAACTGGAGACCTTAGCTGACATGCTGCCTCACCTCCACAAGAAGGAGAATGGGCTTTGCCATCATAGTTTTTGTATATCTCTTTTTCAAAAAGCAAAGAGCTCAATTTTCCAGTCATTGAATTTAGGAAATCCTATAGTTGTTTTTCCTCCTATTATGAGAACTACCTATTTTTTCTGAGCCTTTGTACAAATGGGTGTTTTCTCCAGCAGGAAAATTATTCAGTTCAGGTGCCAATATCTTAGGAAGATAGAACATCTTCAACTAACTAATGCCTTCAGGTTTAAGTTTCTTTTTTAATCTCAATTTCCTGGTCACCTTGGACAGGGTCTCAATCAGAGGCCTTATATGCACTTAAGGTTAGAAAGTCCTTGTGGCTTCCTATTTAATTTCCACTGTTAATCTCCACCCAGTCATCATCAGTTTAGTGGCTATGTTTCTATAAAATTGCCAAGGGTTCTCTGGATTATGGGTCCCCCAGTTTTTCTACCTTTTTCTACTTTGGTCTCCCATGCTCCCATGGTCTCTCCTATTTAGGAGAGGGGAAAACACAAGAATAAACTAAATCTAGAAAATAATACCATTTCCCCTCATCCTAATTATATGTGGTTGACAACAAGACACTCTATGTCTGCAGCTGGGTAACAGAGTATATAGAACACAGGCCTGGAGTCAGGAAGGCCTGAGTTCAAATGTGGCCTCAGATATTTACCAGCTACGTAATTCTGGGCAAGTCACTTAATTTGTTTGCCTCAGTTTCCTCATCTATAATATGGGGGTAATAATAACATCCACCTCTTAGGGTTTTTGTGAGGATCAAATAAAATAATATTTATAAAGCACTTAGCACAGTACCTGACACACAATAAAGGCCATACAAATGTTAGCTGTTATTATATTCAGAACACTGAATTCTTAGGAGAATTTCAATATACCTTAACTGTGGCTTCTTAAGCAAGGACTTTTTGGTGTTATGTACTTAATAATTTCTAACAAAGAGGTAGAGCTGGCCTTGGAGTTTCAGGGATACCTGGGTTCAAATTCCATCTGTGACATACAGTCTGTGTGACCCTGGGGAAATCACTTGACCTCTCAGGGTCCCAGGCAACCCTAAGGCTATAAGTGGCAGAGTAGCAACTGATCTAAATTGTAGAGGGATTTTTCTCACCAGGAATCCCCTAACCCAATCAAATCAGAAGTCCCTAATTCAACTCACCCACCCACACTGGATGCTGAATTGTGCATTTCAGGAATATTGATGGAATTAAATAATCTCTAGTTGCTGGACCTCTATTTCTAGCATCCCCCTCGACTCACATTTTCACCTCAGTTCACTTTAAGTGGCAGCATATTGCAGGGGAATGAGAAATGTACTTGGAGTCAGAAGACATGGGTTTGAATCCCACCCCTGATATTTACTAGGTGGACTCATAAGCATTGTGGCAGTTCAGTGGATATAGCAGTAGACCTGCAGTCAGGAAGACCTGAGTTCAAATCTGGCCTCAGACACTTACTAGTTATGTGACCCTGGGCAAGTTACTTACCTTTTGTTTGCCTCAGTTTTACCTTCTGTAAAATAGGGATAATAATAGTGCCTTCCTCCTGTGTTATTAAGATCAAATGAGATAATAATTGTAAAGCACTAAGCCCAGTACCTGGCACATAATAAGTGCTATATAGATGTTATATTATATTATGTTATGTCATGTCATATCATAAAGCATATATCATATTATATTATGTCATATTATATTATATATTATTATAAGAGCAGCTAGGTATAGATAGAGCACCAGGTCTGGAGTCAGGAAGACCAGGGTTCAAATTCAGCCTCAGACACTTACTAGCTCTGTGACCCTAGGCAAGTTACCTAACCTTGTTTGGCTCAGTTTCCTCATTTGTAAAATGAGCTGGAGAAGGAAATTGCAAAATCACTCCAGGGTCTTTGCCAAGAAAACCTCAAATGGGGTCACAAAGAGTTGAACGTGACTGAAGCAACTAAACAACAACAAATTATTAATAATCACTTTACCTCTTGAAATATCAGCTTCCTTATCTGTAAAATGGGTATAGTAATGCTCATATGTGATTGTTGTGAGGAAAAGGCTTTGTAAATCTTTTTAAAAAGATGTTCCCCCTGTATTTATCCAAATGTAGCATGGAAAGGTTGTAAACTGCATTATTGCAGGAAACTCAACATGTTGAGATCACAGATCCTTTGGAATATTTGAGACTTTGAGATTGCCAGCCTGACAGAGCTGTTGTGAGGTTTAATTGAAATAAGGTTCAAGAAAGTGCTTTGCAAACGTCAGTCATGATGTCAACTTTAGGCATGATATCAATGTCAGCTATTATATAGACACACACATATGTATATGTACATATACATATACATATACACATGCCTATACACACATATACATCCATGTGTATATGTACATATACATCATGATACATACATACATACACATACACGTGTGCGTGTATAGAAGCACAGACATCTTTCTTATGTGGCTTCAAGGTGGGTTTGCCCTCCACCAACATTTCCATTCCTACCCATCTATAAACGTTTTCTTTTCATCTTTACAGTTCTTTCCTTTCTTCCATTCTAGCCTTTGGTGGTGGGCTTTATGCAGTTATATCAACCTTCCTCTGGTTTTCCATTGTCCAGCTACTTTGCCTACTTGCACAGGCCAGCCCATTTCCCAGCTCCATGATGTTTCATCAACTGTCCTCAAGACCTGGGATGCACTTCCCCTTCAACTTTACCTATTAGTTTCAATAGTTTTCTTCCAGACAGCTCAAATCCTCCCTCTTACAAGAAGCTTTTCTAGGTCTCCTCAACTGTTGGTGCTTTCTGCTCTGAGATGACCTCCCAACTCTTCTGTGTACATCTTGTAGTGACCTGGTTATTTACATGTTGTCTTCTTCATTAAAATGTGAGTTCCTCAAGGACAAGGATTTTTTTTTTTGCCTTCTTTTGTATCCCTGGTGTGTAGCACAGTGCTTGGCACATTAGTAATTACTTAATAAATATATGTTGATTAATTGACTGACTGACTGACTCTTGTCCATTGTCCCAGAGCTAATGTGAAGGTATGGAATGCAGACCTCTCCTGACTGTGAGTCCAGCACTCTTTTCAATAACCCAATTATCCTGATGGCAAGGATAGTAGAATTGTAAAGTTGGATATAGATAGTATAATTGGATAGATAGTAAAATTGGACTTTCTTTCCTATTCCATTATATGTCCATACCCACTGCTACCTCCAAAAAATTAGCATGGTTTGATAGAAAGAACCCTGGCCTTGGACTTGGTGTCAGGAAAGGTCTGGGTTTGAATGCTGCCTCCAGCATTTTCTAGCTATTGATTCTTGAACATATGGTGCCAATTCTCCCCAACCTCAGTTTCCTAATCTATAAAATGGGGATACTAATAATTGCATAACCTATTGTGTGGGTCATTTGTAAGTATTATAGGAAAGAGTTATCATTGATGACCTTTAATGAAAGAATTATGATGAAAATCATATCATTCTATGTTTATGATCCTATGATCTTGTCATTTTTTTCTCTCAATTTTCCTCATATGTTCCTTCACTTTTTGATATCTTGGTTTCCACCCCTATAAAATGATGTGGGCAAATTATATGGCTTCCTTTATATCTCCAAATTTTGATACTATGATCTTAAAAGTCAAATCTAGTGTAGTGTGTATATGGGGGGCAGGCATTTGGTTTCCCCACCCTTCCAATTTACTTGATGTAATCAATTGGAGCTATGTCCCAGAGGGAGTGCTATACCAGCAAGTGTCAGAGATGAGATTTGAACCAAAGTATTGTTTGCCTTCAGTCCAGCAGCTGCCTCGATGGTAATACTAACTCCCATGGAGCTCAGATTTTCACAAAATGCTCTTTTTACCTCAATTCTAAGAAAGAAGTAAGAAAAGGACTACTAGTCTCATTTTACAGATGAGGAAACTGAGGTCCAGAGCCTTCCAGGATCTATCCCCAGTCACACAGCCTAGTTAACCACAGGGCTAGAATTTGAAATCAGTTCTCTGGATGTTCAAGCCAACATTCTTTCCAAAAATACAGAAAACCTTCATCAAGCAAGCATTTATTAAGTCTTTAGGAAGACCTGAGTTCAAATTCAACCTGGACACTTACTAGCTGTATGATCATGGGTGAGTCACTTCACATTTGTCTGCCTCAATTTCCTTAACTGTAAAATGGAGGTAATAATAGCATCCACCTCGCAGGGATGCTTCGAAAATCAAATGAGAATATTTGTAAAGCAGTTAGCACATAACGGAAGCTGAAGAAGTCCCTTCCCTTCATTCTTTCTTTCCTTCTTTCCTTCCTGTCTGCCTGCTAGGGACGGTACTAAGCACATGAGGATACAAAGAAAGCCTAAACCATCCCTGCCCTCAAGAAGCTTACATTCTAATAGGATGAATAATAACACGGACATAAATAGGAATATACAAGATTTATACAGAGCCCTGATGCAGACAACCATTTTATAGAATACGATGCTACAGGGGAAAATCAACATTCCAAAAGCCCTAGTATAAACACAATGAGGAGGGAGGGGGGCGAGGGGGAGGAGAGGAGGGGGGTGGGAGGAGAGGAGGGGGCGGAGAGGAGGGGGCGGGGTAGTCGAGTGGGAGGGAATGGGCAAGTCTCTGTTCGCAGCAGAGCTATCTCCGCCCCCTCTCCGTCTAGCAGCCTCCGCTCCTCTCCAGCTGCTGCTATTGCTGCCGCTACCCTCCTCCTCCTCCCCCTCTTCCTCTTCCTCCTTCTCTTCCTCCTCCTCTTCCTCCTCCTCCTCCGCTGCCCTCCCCTCGGCCGCTTTGTCTCCAGGGTGCCCTAGCTGCATTTGGGTAGCGGTGGGGAGCTGTCCAGCAGCCCCGCTCCTGAAAACCTTCCCAAGCCCTCCATCCCCTCACCATGTAAGAGCCATGAAAACAGCGCTCCCCGCAGCAGCCTTGCCATGGAGGATGATGTGTTCCAGCTGAGACAGCTGCCGTGAGTACCACTGGGGGATGTGGGGAGACAGACAGATGTGCGTGCGTTTGGAAAAAGCCAGACCGCTCCAGGCGGGCGGCATCTGGGCTGTTAATTGCACCGCACCGAAAGGAGCCCCGAGAAAATGAGTTAGGCCCCAAGGAAGCAGGCCATTTTCTCGGATGGGGAGCCCAAGTTGGGTTTCTCTGACTCAGTTCAATTTCCCCCCGCTGGCAATCAGGAGATAATAAGGGGAGCCCTGTGGCAGGGATATTGTCTGGGGTTCTTTCCAGTCCTGGAGGGATGGATTAGCAGGCATCTGTCAGGACTAGGGTTTAAGGAAGGTGGAGCAGCTTATTTTAAATGCTGATAGCCTCTTAAAAGCCTGGACATTTGCCCTTAGCAGCTCTTCACCTCCACGATGAATGACTCCCAGCCTCCGAAATCTTTCTGCAAGGTCTGTCAGTAGGGAATGATAAGGATGTGTGCAAACACCATCCCCCCCCCTTCATCACTACCCCTTCCCACCAGGATTCCCGCTAGGGAGGAAAAGATGGGGCAAAAGGCTGTTGTTTATGAAGTGTGTAAAGGGTAGGTCTGGACCCAGAGCTGATTATACCAGGTATTATCCCTAGAAATCTGCTTTCTTTTGAATGAGTGGAGAGAAGAATTTTTAAAAATCCAGCTCCAATGAAGCCCACCTTAATCCACTGGCTAAAAAAGCAGTAGAAATCCACTGCTTAGAAGAATGATTGCTTCAGGGTAAAATAAAATTGCCTTGGAACCCTGGGGAACACTCTAAAGCAACTGCTCAAAATTGCTACCTTTGGCAGGGGCAGGAATGGGGGGTGGGGGTGTTGGGTAGAGGGGATTTCCCTCCATGCAGATTTTCTAAGAGGGAAATAGAACTCCAAGGAGAAAGCAATTCTGTGGCCATTCAGCCAAATCTCAGCTTACTGAATGAAATTCCATTTCGACCTGTCCAAAACCATTGCTTATTATGCCTTCTGTGTCTTTTTTTATCCATTCAGCTTTATTTTATAAAAAAAAAAAAATGGTTCTCTGTAGCACTTAAGTATCCTCCAAAGTCACTTTGGGTGTGAGTGTAATTGCTTGGATAGTCAGATATTCCACACAAATACAGCTCTTCAAGGTGATGAGGAGTGAGCAATTCCATGAGGATTTCACCAAAGAGGGTACCTTGTAATTTCTGTTTCCTCCCCAGTGTAAAATGATTACATTAGATGGGGCGCAGAAGGGAAGGAGACGGTGGCTGTGCTGGATGTGACATGAAGGCTTTTATTAATAGAATGATGCTAATAGACATATATTTTATTGTTGAACATAGAATGATTTCATAAATAATAATCACATCGGACATTATACCAAAGATGGCCAGTTATAGCTGCCAAAGGCTGGTTGTCAGGTGAGATATGAGAATACAGAAATACAAGTACCTGAGTGGAATTTATATGACTGAGTTACAGAACTATGGAGCTTGCAAAAGACCTTGGAGACCAGTTTACAAAAGAGGAAATTAAGGCCTCTAGAGAGGGGAAGTAATTTGCTTAAGGCCACACATTTACTGTGGTAAGAGCCACAACTTGAACTAATTTCTTTTGACTTTGAACCCAGTGCTTTTTCCACTCCATGTTGCCTACACAAAACAAGTACTCTCTACTCTAACCAAAAGTCAATTCTAAGGGCCAATAGAAAAACAATAGCCCCAAATTAAATCATATTTAACAAACGTGGGTTCCTGGTGACATAAGAGAATATGTTTGCCTGCAATATACAAAATCAACATCAAATTGTAATTTTAAAACTTTGTGTTCTATAGCACATCTGACCACATTTCCCCCTCACTCAAAAATCTTCAACAGCTCTCTATTGCCTCTAGTATAAAATGAAATTTTCATTGGCTCCTTATTATCCTTAGGATATATATTTTTTAATCCCCAGCCTAGTATTTAAAGTTTTCCACATTCTGGCTTCCACCTGTCTTGTTAGTCTTATTTTGTATTATTCACCTTCACACATTGTCCACTACAGTCAAGTTGACCTATCAGCTGTGCCTTGTATAGGACATACTATCTCTAGCCTCTGTGCCTTTGCACAATCCATCAAGCATGATTAGAATAACCTCTCTCCTCACCTGTGCCTCTTGGAATTCCTAGCTTCTTTCAAAGCACAGCTCTGGGATCACCTTCCATATGAGGTCTTTCCTGATCCCCAAAGTTGTTAGCGTTCTCTGCCTCTTGAAACAATGCTGTGTTATTTTGTATACACTTTGGTTTACTTCTCAGGGTACATACTGTAGTCCCTAGTGGAATGGAAGTTCCTTGAAAGCAAAGATTATCGCATTTTGTCTTTGTATCCCTCTCTGCCTCGCTCATAGCAGGTATGTAAGAAATGTTGGTTGGAATCGAACATAACTTTAGTTTCTAAATATTATTGGAAGGTGGAAAAGTGGATAGAGTGCTGGGCTTAGCGTCAGGAACATTAGAGAGTCCAAATCCTGCATTAGAGACATAATAGCTGTGTGGCTCTGGTTAAGTCACTTAACCTCCCAACCTCAGTTTCCTCATCTGTAAAATAGGTATAGTAGTAGCACCTACTTGACAACATTATTAGGATTAAATGAGATGATATTTGTAAAACATTTTGCAAAATTTAAAGTACTATATAAAGGCTATCATTACAAAAACAAACAAATATGGAAAGTATGGGGCGGGACAGGTATGGGTTTTTGTTCTTGCTCTGTTCCTCACTAGTAATGTCACACCTTAGGCAAATCACTTTCCTTCTCTGGGCCCCAGTTTCCTTCTCTGTAAATGAAGGAGTGAGCAACTAGGTAGCACAGTGGATAGAACACTGGGCTTAGAATCAGGAAGACTCCTGCTCATATTTCAAATCTGGCCTCAGACACTTACTGGCTCTGTGACCCTGGGCAAGTCACTTCACCCTGCTTGCCTCAGTTTCCTCATCTGTAAAATGAACTGCAGAAAGAAATGGCTAATCACTCCTGCCAAGAAAACCACAAATGTAGTCACAAAGAGTAGGACACAACTGAAACAACTGAACAACAACAAAATGAAGGAGTAGGTAGTGTCTAAGGGCCCTCCCACCACTGACATTCTATGTTCTGTTTTCTAAGGTCCCTTTCAGTTCTAATATACCATGTTCTAAGGTGCCTTTTGGTTCTATCATTCCATATTCTAAGGAACCTTTTATCTCTGGGGTTCTGTGTTCACTCACACACACACACGCACACACACACACATACACACACATCTGGAAGGGCACACAGAAGCCATCCAGACCAACTCCTTTATTTTCCAGATAATGTAAAGTCCCAGGGAGGAGAAATGAGTTGCTCACCCTCACACAGCTAGTAAATAAGTAGCAGAGTTGAGATTGGAACTCAGTTCCCCTGGTGCCAAATCCTGTGCTCTTTTCCCTGTACAGTGCTGCCTCCCAGGCCTCTTCTAGTCTGAATTCAATGTTCTGTGTCCTAAGGTTCCCTACAAATGGTCTAGGAACAAAACACAAACACAATATCCACCGAACAGTCTTTTAATGATTTTCTGAAGAGTGAATATATTTCAGCAAGTTTATAGCACTTGAGAAATTCACAGATGACTCAGGGGATGCCTCCCTTAACCAAAGAAGTTGCATGAAGTTAACTGGACATGTCCGTACTGAATCAAAAAGAACTGACCATAAAAATAGAAGAACATTTAGAAAAGCAAACAATAAGCATGCTAATTATCTGTTGTTCGGTTGTATCTGACTCTTCCTAACCCAGTTTGAGGTTTTCTTGGCAAAGATACTGGAGTGGTTTGCCATTTTCTTCTCCAGCTCACTTTACAGTGGAGGAAACTGAGGCAAACAGGCTTAAATGACTTGCCCAGGGTCACACAGCTAGGAAGTGTCTAAGGCTGGATTTGAACTCGAGTCTTCTTGACTCTAGGCCCAACACTCTGTCCATTGCTCCACCTAGCTGCCCATGTTAATTATACAGGGCCCCAAAGAGTAACTGGAATATGTTCATACTGTATGTATGTATGTATGTATTGTATGTGTGTGTGTGTGTATATATATATATATATACACATACATATATATAAACTATATGCAGAACTGGAATATACAAAGCTACAAAATATATACATTTAATGAAATCAGAATGATTTTGGCAATGTTTGGCAGTAATTTATCCTTAAAACTCAGCTCAAAGGGCCATGCTATTCCATGTGCCACAGTGAATCCCGACAAATACCATTTATGTCATCTCCCATGCATGGTATAGACAGATTGCAGACTGCAGATTTCCTTGAAATACTGCTGCACATGGAGTCAAAACATGTGAGTTGAAATCCCACTTCTTCTTAGTAATTATGTGGCATCGAAGAAAGGAAATAAGCATTTATTGAGTGCCTACCCTGTGCCGGTCACTATGCTAAGGGCTTTACAAATACTATCCTTATATTATTTGTATTATCCTTTACAAATAATATTCTCTCAACAACTCTGGGAGGTAGGTGCTATTATTTGCCCCCATTTTATAGTTGAGGAAACTGAGGCCAACAGAGTAGAGGTGATGTGCTCAGGGTCACACAGCTAGTAAGCGTCTGAAGCAGGATTTTAACTCAGATCTTCCTGACTCCAGGCCTAGCACTCTATCCACTGTGCCACCTACCTGCCTTGAGCAAGGCACTTAAACAACAAGCATTTACCACGTGCAAGTAATGGTGGTTACAAAGACAAAAGTAAAACAAGAAAAAAGTAGAAACAGGCTTTGCCCTCAAGAAGCTCACGTTCTGTGAGAGCAGACGATATGTACACCTCTAAGTGCAACCTGATTCCCAAAGCCCATTCTTATGGGCTCTTTCCTAATTAGTGGAAATCAGTGCCTGAGCCCAGGTGACAGGCAGGTTGGAGTAGGTGAGAGTGGGAGAGAGGAGAGCACGCAGTCCAATTTTTTCAGTCTCTTTGGCCTCTGAAGTAGCTTTGGGGGC